TTGGAGGAATTTTGGTACAATTATAACTACTATTACTACCATTCTTCCATTCCCTACTAAGCAAAGGTAAGATGATGAGGCTTCTCAGCATGATGAACGCGGAGTTAACTAGCCTTGACGGCTTAACCTTTTCGCCGTTGCTCCCTGAACCACATCATCTTGACCTGATGAGCTTGACACCATCGAACAGTTGCCAACAGTATGCCCCCCTGTAGAACCTTTCCCCGTTTCCACTGTCAAACCCTCTTCTAATTCCTGGCCCCTGTACTGGGCACTGCCGTTGTTTTGTGGTTTTAGGATGCCGAAACCCTAAACCCTAAACCCTAAACCCTGGTTCAGGGGCTTTCCGGATTTAAGGAACTACGGGCCAAGGGGCACTTTTTTGGGGATCATGGGCTCGAGGGCTCTTTAAAGGGATCTATAAGGTTCCTTAAAGGGATCTATGGGTTTTAGGGTTTAGGGTATAGGGGTTCAGGTTTTGGGGCTTCGGGGTCGAAATTCAAGTGCCTATGGGTTTAGGGGCTTACAGTTTCGGGAGTCGGGATTAAGTCCGAAGCAGGAGTCACCAACAATGGTGAGCTCCTGAACTGCGGACCAATGTCTGCTTTAGACGCCCAGTTGACTCCAGTGTTGACGGTTGAGGGTTTCGGGTTTAAGGATCGTTAGGGAGTTTTGTTTATGGGTTCAAGGGGTTTGGGAGTTCTGAGACGTCCCAATCTGAGATGCCAGAGGCGCGGTGGATCGCACAGAAGTACATCGAGAACCCGCTGGTGGTGAGTGGCAAGAAGTCTCCTGCTTAGATTTAAACCACTCTATGCTGGTTCGTTTTGTTTTCCGGGTTAACCCTACAGCTCCAACATAAATCATACAATACCCTGAGTTCTCGGCGGCTTATGCTCTTCTGCCTTCTTATATCTACGCAGAGTATGCATGTGCATACATGTATACATACATATGTAGTTACATACACACATACAGACATACACACATACATACATACTTACTTACATACATACATACGTTCATTCATTCAGACATACAAAGATACAATGTATGCATGCATACACGCATATTTGTACATATACACATACGCACAAATACACATACATACATATACACATACACAAATACACGCATATACACATATACTAATTTATACACTTATACATAGACACAAACATGCATACATACATGTATGCATGCATACATACAATCATACGTACATACATATTTACAGACATAAGTGCATACATCTCTACCTACCTACATACATACATGTATACTATACAGGGTGATATTCTTGTTCATGCACTTTAGTTCAGGTGCATGAAAGGGGAGCCTCCTGGCTTGAGTAGAACATGTGCGGTCTGAAGCCTGCCAGGTTTAGGAATTTTAAGGTTCAGGGACTAGGGATCAAGGGGTTTCGGCTGAGAGTTGGGAGTTTGGGGTTTGAAGTTGGCAATTCAGGGGTTTAGGGGTTGACTTTGAGGATTAGGTCGGTCGGCTTCTTCTCAGGAGCTCCTGGCTTTAAGGATTAACTTAGGGGCTTTCTGGGTTAAAGCTTAGGATGCCGGTTCCGCAGAGGGTCCAAGTACTCCTTGTTATAGGACTTTAGTTCCTTTTGAGATATTAAAAATCAAAAATAAGGACTACTTGGACCCTTAGGGTTCTATAATTTGGGATTGCAGATTTCCGATGGTATTTCCATTGTGGACATTGGTCGGTTCTTGCAGGGCTCCGTGGAATACGCTTGATGATACTGTATTATATATATATATATATAAACATAGAAATATGTATATATATATACATATATATATATATATACATCCTGCATTACTTTAATGACCGTAGACTATGGGAACTATGGAATAGTCTTTATTATGGGTAATGCAGGATTTGTATCATCAGCCGTAGTGGTTGGTCTTGTTCAAGGTGCACTCTCTCACGTGGAAACTAGCAACAACAGGCTGTGTGGCTGTGATTGTGCAAGTACGTCAGAATATGGTTATACAAAATGCTTACAATACATGCTTGCATGCAAGCAAACGATATGTTTACACACCAGCGCCGACACACATGCTCACAAAATGAGATGGAACAGGCAGTTAGGTAGGTAGCTGAATAAAGGTTTTTGTTTGAAGACAGGCTTCCTTGTCTGTGTCCGTGGCTGTGCGTCTTGTGTGCATGTTGTTTCCTCCTAGCATGTTTTTTGAACACAGCCCTCGCAAGCTTTAGAGTCTACGGCCGCAGCGGGAACGTCAAGAGCAAACGCGTCAACAGCAACAACAACAACAACGACACCAACAGCGGCAACGACTGAACGTGTGTGTGTGTGTGTGTGTGCGTGTGTGTGACCTAGACCCTGAAATCTAAGTAGGCCTTTCTGGAGAACACAATCCAACCCTGAAGCCCGATACCGTAAACCCCTAGCCCCAATACAATCCCGAAGCGAAATCCTTAGTAGCTCATTGCGACATGACCCCTTCATAGATCTGAAAATGTATGTTTTTGCGTGGCTTCTGAACTCAGCAAGTAAAGAAATCTTAAATAATTTGCTTCGGCTGCCCAAGGTTTGACATCCGCCAGTGGGTGTTGGTTACCAGGCCGGGTTTAGGGTCTACGTGGAGGATCATGGGACTTAGTAAGTAAGGTTATAGGTACCTTAAATATGGTTATATGTCTAGATACCCTAATTATATCCCTAGTTACTAAGCCCCACGATCCGTTAAGTAGGGTTGAGAGGGTTTTGAGGGCCCCATCTGCTGCTCGCAAGGTCAGGGAATTTTGGAATTTTGAGGCTCAGGGTTAGCCCTATCCCAAAACCCTAAACCCTTAAACTGTCCGGAAGGTGTTGATTCGGTCTTCCAAAAAAGACATGAACCTTGGTCGGAATGCGGTAGATGTCAAGCACAACGAAGGTACCCTAAGACCCAAAAAGAGTCTCAACCTCTACATTCCTGACCCCTAAACCTCACTGAAATATACACCTTTGGAGCCCCGTTTTGGAAGACCCCTACTTCTGTCGTGGGGCTCTTTGCCCCGCATGGACCAATGAGCAAAGGAAGAAAAAAAGATGTCATCATCAAGGCCATGCAGCAGCATCCAAGCCTTGTGCAGGCACGATGGGAGGCAGTCAAAGAACATGGTGTTCAGGCTGTGCAATCTCCAGATTCCAGCTCATCCTGTGGCTGCAAGAACGAGGTTTTGAAATACTTTGAGTATATGACCGGGATCGGTCCTGGTGGGAAGATTATTCCGGATGACCTGAAGCTTTTGACGGAGCTTCGAGACTGGGCGTGGTTTTTATAAACCTTGAGCCCCGCATCAATTTCGAACTTGCCTTAAGCCCTAAACCCTTCAACCCCAAGCTACCTTAAGCACTAAACCTTCAGTAAGCCCAAAACCCCAAGCTCAGGGTTACAGCTAAGGGCTTCTTGCTTCAAACTTCGGGGTGTTGTTTTTTTGAAGGTTTCAGGGTTCAGTCTTAGGGCTTAGGTTTTAATATAATCCTCAAGCCCTACTTGGGGTCTAAGGTTTAGGGTTTAACTAGGGTTCCTTAAAGGGTTCCTTAAAAGGGATCTATAGGGGTTCTATAAGAGGGGTTTTAGGGTCTACTTGAAGGATCATGGGACTTGGTAACTAGGGTTGTAATTCGGGTAACTATACTTATAGCCCCAATTAAGGTACTTATAACCTTACTTACTAAGGGCCATGATCCTCCAAGTACAACCGCCTAAGCCCCAATCGCAGGGGCTGATAAGGCTGTTTCAGGGCTTTTGCAGCACGGTCGTAGGATTCTCCGTTTGTTCAAACACAGTTCCTGCGTAAGCAGGCAATGGTACATGTCTGTCTGCCTGCTTGCCCGTCTGTCTTCGTATCACGGTGGGTGTTCGTCCGTGAAACTTGAGCTGGCCGATTGGTTGCAAAGTATGGTGCCAGCACGAGAGGATGTCCATTAGCCTAGTAGTCGAGTAGGTAACGGCTAGTATAGTCCCTATAGGATCCCTATATAACCAAAAAGGTTAACCTTTAGTTCCCCAAGATACCCGACAAGTAGCCCTAAACCTTATAATTAGTACCCTTATAGAGCCCTTTAAAGGAATCCTTATAACCCCTTCCCAGACCCCCGGGAGGATCCAAAAAGTATATCCCGACAAGAAGGTTAGCGTCCCCCGCCATGGCTGCTCAGCAAATACGTCGTCAGTTTCCCAAAGATGTCAAACACGACAGCCGTCGCCCCAAATCCTATATAGTCTCACCCCGGGCCATCGGCACGGACTTCGAAAACTTGTAAAACACCAACTCCTATACTTTTCAACCAGTGTCCCTGAACCGGAGCCTCTTAACACCAAGCCTCGAGTAGTAAGCCCCAAGCCATACCTTCCCTGAGCTGCAGCACCTGTTTAGCGGCACCTTATCTGTTTCCTGATTCCATAATAAAATAGGTTTCCCATATTAAAGTATTGCAGTTTAGGGTCGAGGTAGAGCATGCCCTTGAACCCCTAACCTGAGCCACTCAACCCTAAGCCCCTTGACCCTAAAACCCTGAACCCCTAAACCGTAATCCCGAATCACTAAACTAAACTCTAATCAACATCGCTTTGACCTCATATCTAAGCCCTAAAACCCTGAACCCCCAAACCGTAATCCCGAGTCACTAGACCGCACTCTAAGCCCTACTCAGGCCCTATAGTCAACATCGCTTCGATCATGTCTCCCCAGGTGGAGTCCGCTGGCTGCTTGGTTCTACCAGGACCGAGCTCAGCAGGAAGATGCAAGTGGACGTAGGAGTAATGAGCAATGGTACCTTAGTGTAGTCTCCATAATATGTATTTATATTCTATACGCACATACATAGGTATATGTACATATACGCATAATTATATGCATATTAATGCTCTTTGCATATCTATATTTTCTTCTTTTCTTCGGAGCGATTGAGTCGAGTACGACGCACGCCTAGCAAACGAATTCGAAAAGGTGAAACCGAGAGGCGGTCAGCTGGTGGGAGAGCACATGCCATCTTGACAACGCTCAAAGCCACCCTGTACCAGCCAAGTCGTGACGGGCTCAAGGCAGGCCAAAGCCGCCGAGCAGGCTCCTAACTTGACTGGCGCGACCTTAGCCTGCTGTACCAAAAGCCCTACAGAGTCACAAGCAGCTTCAAACCACCGTGCATGCCGCTCGGCCACGGTCAAGGGGACACTGCAGCGAAAAGGGTATCGGAATTCAGGCAATGGAGGCGGATCGAGTCGCATCACAAAAGGTGAGCCGGTAAGGACAAAGGAAAACGAGAGGCCCAAGGGAGCGGCGAGGGCGGGCAGAAAATCCAAGCCCTTTGGAACCTTGGGACGATGCCGAAAAGTGTCACAGCAAAGGTCAGGATCCAGAAGAAGAACGACATTGGAAGCCAGATCGGGGGCATCAGGGTGTGCTGAGTCGTGGGCAGCCCAGGCACCAACCGTAGCACGGAGATGTGCCAAAGGGGCAATGAAGTCAGCAACAGTGTCCCAGACCAAGGTCTCGTCCGGCTCGGCAATATCGAGCAATGCCGACAAGAGACCTGGGTGGATCTCCGGGCTTCTTGACACGCCTTCAGCAAGAGCAACATGCCCCCCAAGCTGGAGCGGCGGCGCAGCAGGGTGCGGGGCAACATCATCAGCAGAAGGATGGGCCTGGAAGTTGCCCCAACCAAAAGCCATCCTGCAGGGTATGCAAGCCTCGGTGAAAGGTTTCTCGTCATTGCCAGTATTGGTGGGGTCACGGCCAGAACCTGCCTCTCGAACACACCTGGCAAGGGCAAAAAGGGCGGCTCCGCAGGTTAATCTCAACACCGCAAGGCGTTTGGCACGTTTGACCCAGCCCCGGAAACGTCCCGGCCGCTCAGTCATGACCCGTTGCCAGGGGGCCCAGTCAGACAGGGGATCTGGCAAAGGGACAGTGGCCCTAACCAAACAGTAGAGCCATGAAAAGGCGTCTCGATACGCCTCCAGGAGACCGGCATCGAGACGGGTCAAGGCCCATAACGCATCCGGGGCGGCAGCGACGAGCTGTCGGGCATACCTTAACCGCTCAACTCGGAGGGAGGTGATGGGATCGGCAACACCCAGCAAGGCACATGTTTCCGCACGGCAAACGTGCTGGTCATCCTCATGAGGCACACACAGAGTCTGTCTCAGGATACTCATTAGTGTACCGGACAGTGTTTGCTCTTCGCCACTGCGCAGAAGGGGCCAAGAGCCCGCCCCAAAGAAGAGGCGGGTGAGCACTGCAGACCCAAGTAGTGTCCCTCTACGTGCAAGAGACAGCTTCTTGTTACGGTAGACAGCCTTCCGGCCTTGCCTGAAAGCTTGCCAGGCGCTCCCGCAACGAAACTTGATCTCAACCAAAAGGGAGCTGGTGGGCGATTGCATCATGCCTAAGTGTTTGTAGGAAGTGACGACCGGCAATTCAGCAGGCGGCAAGTTCTCCAGAAGGACAGGAAGGGAGGCCTGTCGACCATACAGCGATGATCTCGCTTGTCGGGAACCAGGCCCAGTAAGTTTGATCATCGCAGCGGTTTTGGTGGCACCGAAAGTCAGCGAGTACCCGAAGCTCGCGAATGCCTCGGCAAAGTTGGAAGTGCTAGTGGCGACACAGACAGCTGCAGAGGCTGCATCGTTTAACACAACACATTCGGCCACATCGTCAGCCCAGACAATATCATCCAAAGGCACAGAAGTGACAGGGGCGGAAGCATGGCTAAAATCGCGTCGCCCATCCCACGGAATACTGGGTTTCGCAGCAGCTCCGGGCGTAGCAGCACGTAGGGTGTTCTTCAGGCCAAGGATGGCCGACACCCCAGCTCCGAACATCAGGTCGGCAAACGTGGATCCGGGCCTGGATCCGCGACGAGTCTGGACTGGGTGCCCATCACCAGCAATGGTGAACCAAGTTCTCCTATGCATTTCAGCGACGACCGCCTCAAGCCAGTCGCTAGCACCGCCCTGCCGCAAGACACTCGGCTTGTCGAGCTGTTGCAGGAGGCCTTCATGGTCGGGCAGAAAGTCAAGGTTCCGCGGATCACCCTTGGCACAGGGATGCCGGGCTGTTAACTCCCTTAGAGAACTATAGTACGCGGAAGCTACGTCCGCGAAGATTACCGCAAAGGACCCTTTGATCCGATTTTGCCATCGGCAAAAGCTCCGCACAAGATGCCCTCCAAAAACTACCGTCGCACCTCGGCGGCCGCCGAGGAGCGTAGAAGGAGCGCAAGCATCGATGTGTCGGTACAAGCGGGGCCTCAACGAGCGATGCAAAGCCTTAGCGATGGCAGGTAGAAGCATGATCGCACGGTAAGAACTGCAGTCATCCCGCGGTCCACGTTGCTTGTAAAGCGTACAAAGAGTGGACCCCTGGAGTCCAATGGCTTCAGTGCCACGGATACAGAACTTCAGGAGAAGGGGGAGCAGGTGGAGGACCAATGCAGGCGGCGCACCAGACAGGGCTTCTCCCGGCACCATGTCTGGTCCAGGGGCCTTTCCTGCCTTAGAGGCAGCAAGAGCCCTGAGCAGCTCCCCTGGTGCTGGTATGTCCAATAGCGACGGGGGCAATGGCCAATTTCCAACCGACTCAGCACCAGCAAGATCACCTGGTTGGCACCTACACCCTGCTTCCATATCCCCAAAGTGCTGGCGCCAACGGTCAGTGATTTCGATCCCAGACTGGCATAAGGTGCCGTCGGCTTTACGAAGACGAGGTAACACCTCCGGCGTGAACGGCTTCTTGCGTTTCTGCTTAAGCAATTGCTGCAGTGCAGCGGCACCGTCGGCCTGATTGGCCTGAACAGCGTCAGCCAAAGTCGCAAGATAAGCAGTTCGGTCTTCTTTGCATCTTTGCCGAAGCAGCATAGAGGCAGCCCGGAGTTGCTCACCACAGTCCGTCCCGACAGCAGCGGCCTGCCTGGCCCACAAGAAGTCTGAGGGAAGACCAGAGGAGGATCCCCGCCAAATGGCAAGGAAGGCGGCAAGGGTATGCCTGCGGACTGCTACTCTGAGACGGGCACACCTGTGCCGAAGGACGGCCACATGCCTATGCAACTGCCAGGTCTCGGCAGAGAGGTAGCTGCTCCTAGGGGCAGCCTTGGGCACAGGGAACTCAGCAGCCAGAGCCTCATGGAGGTGTTTGACAAGAACTGCAGCATGTGTATCAGCAGAAACCTGCCAGGGAATGGTAGGGAGACTGCTGAGGACGCCTTTAAGGCGATCACGGTTGGCTGGGGCCCGCAAAGCAGCCGCATCAATGCGGGGCTTCCTAACGCGCGACGGGGCAGCAAAGCCGGAAAGTGTCGCCCCAATCTTGAGAACAGTGGCAAGATGGTCGAGGCAGGCTTGACCGGCATGAATACTCGGTTCTACCCAAGCTTCCACCTTGGCATCACGCCACACTTGAGGGAGAGCAACAAAGTCCGGCCTGGTGGCTGCAGCGTTGCGTTTCTGGAAAAAGGTCCAGCCAGGGCCCTGCTGCGAAGCCTCCCAGGTGGCCGGGAACCACAATTGGCATGAGGCTGCAAAGTCTTGGACGAAGGACCCTGCCAGGTCTTGAGGCTCCGCAAATGCATCGCTGATCGCAGCATCGGTGATACTCCCAACACAAGCATTAAGGTCACCACCTAGAACCAAGGGTGCAATCCTAGCAAGAGTGGTACATCGCCGAAAGGTGTCATGCCACCATGTAGAGATCACTTCGTCAGGGTGTCCCCTATGGGGGGCATGGAGACATACGAAATGCAGGCGCAGCTTGCCTTGTTGGAAATGAACGACAAGCCTCCGCGGGTCGCTAAGGAGCACTGAGCAGGCGTCTTTGCTCAACGACACAAGCTGCTCCCGCCCCCGGGTGACAATCGGGAGATCTCGACGGAGCCAAATTTCAACACCTAGGTGCCCACGCTCAGTGCCGGAACAAAAGCGAAGAAACTCCGCAGTGTTGAGGAAGCCCTCCTGGGTCCGAGCCTCCTGTAGGAAGGCGACTCCGACATCGTGTTCCCGAAGAGTGGATGCCAACATGGCCGGTCGGCCTGCCGCATACGCAATACCTTGTCCAGTCCCATCGGCAAAGGCTTCGCCATTCAGTGAAAGAACATTGTACGAGACCAAACTAAGGGCCAACCAGGCATCTGAGACAGTTGCAACCGAAGGGGAGTCGCCACTGTTGACTGGAAGGAAGGGAGCAACCTGCTCAGCAGGTGAGATCTCTAAAGGTGTGAGGGGAGTGACCTCAGCATTGAATGTTGGCTGAGGCAGGGAGGGGCACCCTAGGGTCGCTTGGCAAACAACAGCCGCCCACTCGATGTGTCGGGTATCAGCACACCACCAATCGAAAGCGGCAGGATCACCTGAGATCCATGGAAAGAGCCAATCTCAACGCCTCGGGCCGCAGCCCGGGCGGCCGCATCAGCTAATTCATTGCCGAAATTGCCAGTGTGCCCCGGGGTATGCTCGAAAGCGGGGGGGTACTTGGCGAGTGCTTCAACGAAAATGCGGATGGAACGCAAGGCTCCAGCAGCGGCGCCATCAGTATTGCCCTGGCCAGTTTCAACCACAAAGAGAGCAGCTTTACAGTCGGACTTATAAACTAGGGAGTAGCCACGATAGGCTGTGGTACCCATCCAGAGGGCAGCTGTCAGAGCACAGCATTCAGCAATGAAGGCAGAGGGGACGTCGTCAGACGCAAGGAAGCATGGCGGCACACAGCCCGCAACGATGCTGAAACAGAAAGGGTCCCCGGCTACAAAGACACAGGCCCACCCCATTTTAACGGACTGTTGCTGCGTCGGGGGCGTATAAGACCCATCAGTGTAGCACCAGACCTGCTGTGCAGGGATTGCACCAGGATTGGGATCAAGTGTAGAAAGGTATCGGACATCCGCTGCAGGGAGAAGCTGGCATAAATCCTCGAGCGTGACCAGGGACACCTTGGGACAGAGAAGGTCCCATAGTTGCGATGCCGAAAACGGGCACGGGACTCCACCAACATTGAGGCACCTCCGACCTAAACGATGGAGCGCCTGCAGGGATGTCGCCTCCCACGAGGAGGGCTCAACCGGATCGGGGTCCCAAGAGGACAGAGGCAGCAAATTGCACAGGGAGAGGCAAGGGGGCACCGCGGGTACCTTCGCTGCATCGTGTAACTGTGTGGGATCAACAAAGCCAGAAGAACGGCAGGCAGCTACCGTAGCGACTGCATCGGTTGAAACAGGTTCCTCTGTCGGCGGATGAGACCGGGGCCGAGACTCATCCCTGCCGCGCAGAGGTGTGGGGAACGGCCGGCCGTGAGCTAAGAGTGCCAGTGCCGCGGGAGTGTTAAGTCTACAGTCCCGTGGACCTCGGGTATTGGCAGCACTCTTGGGTGGGTCACAACGCAACGGTCCACGAGTACCAGGGGAGCTGCCACCGAATGCAGCAGGCAAGGAGGATGCAAACAAGAAGGGGCCTCCTATAAAATTGGGCGCGCTCTCCGCCACGGTTTCCCACAAACAGCAGCCACACACACGCATCTATCCTGGATAGGAAAACTGCCAGGAGGACAGAGGTGCCAAGGAGAATCCTCCCAAGCCAGACGGCGGGAGGAAGAGCTCCGAAACACTTGACTACTCTACTAGCAGGACCATCACCGTGGGATAGACACAGGGCAGGGTGCTTGGTATGAGAGGGGGGAGCAGGCTCCTGCTTCTGCCATTCAGAGGCAGCGAGGTGGTCATCAAAAAGGGATGTTCGTGACTTGTGGCGTAGCCTTTTCAGAAATCCCCTAAGACTCCGGCGGCGGCCGCCACCAGTGCCTGCATCAACGCCGGTTGAAGTGCCCGCTGACCCAGTGGCACGGGAACTGTCAAAATCCTCAGTTCCATGACTGGTAGCGTCTGCATCCTCTGACACAGGTCCCGAAGTGTTGGAAGGCCCAGAACCTCCAGACCCATCCTCAGGGTCTAGACTGTCAACCTCGGCTGGTAAAAAGGTCAAGATCACAACCTCACAGTGTCGAACGTGGAGGTCGTTACGGACAACGGAGGGACCCCGATTCGGGTCGATGCGACACAACACAAAGCCTACTGGGCACCTAGCCGAAAATCGACCAAGCAAAACCGAAAGGGGAAGACGTTCTTCCGATAGGTGGCACCAAGAAAGCCGCAAGAGCATAGGCCGCAGGTCAAGAAAGCACACAGGGCCTGCAGGACCAGGGTCTTGCGGATCAGGTAGGCCAACTACAGCAATGACGTTCCTGGAAGGAACTCCTCGATCCGCATGATCGACAATCATGGGATCCGGTGCCCTTAAAATGAGCGAGTGTGGGGTCACTCCCAACTGGGATGCTATATCGTTGCGGAAGTGCATACGCCGACCGGCTGCAACAATGAACCCAAAATCCTCAAAATCGGAGAGCACCCAAACTAAGTCCGTAAAGGGTATGTCAGGTACCCAATCATCTGACCACCTAGACTCCGAAAGCAGTAAAGCCTGGAGGCTGGTAGTGGCAAAGGCTACATGTCCCGCTGGAACAAGCACAATGGCATCGCCATGCGACAAACGTAGAGGTTGCCCCTGTGGGACTGGCCACGGCAGGTCGCGGTGGTAGATCTCGCAGCCAGTGTTCCCCTGGACACCAGCAATGTGAAAGACATCAGCATGCGTGGCGACAGTGGGAAGGTGTGAAGCAAACAGCGCGCCCGTGACACGAGTGGCATCGACAATCACGATGGCTCCGCTCGGAATCCAAAGAGGCACTGCCAAAATGACACCAACACCCTGAATGGACTGGGGGTGCACAGCGCAGACCCTAGGAAACACCTGACGGTGAAAGGGCGCCCGTGCCGAATTGATAGCAGCCAGGGCATCATCGACACTGACACCGACAGGAAGGCGGGCGGACACAAGCTCAGGGCAGTATTCCGGGCGGACAATAACGAAGGTCCCTGCCAGGAAGGCACTTGTACTCATCACATCGACTGTGGTATCACCAGAGACCGCAACAGAGTCAGGCAGGTTGGCTGGACCATCAACTTGTGTAGCTGAAATGGACCGGGAAGCGTCCCCAGAAGCAGTTACCGAGTGGTTGGCCTCCGGGACGACTGCAGTATGCTGCGTGGCATCTGTGGCAGACTCGGTAGGCTCAAGGCCAGCCTCATGATTATGGGCACGCCCAAAGTCAACGATAGGCAGTCGGCATACCTCAACGGTGAAGACCTGTCCTGGTTGCACAGCAAAATGTCCATCCGGGACAATGCCGGCGATGCGCAGAGACCATCCTGCAGGGGGCGCAACTCTGACAGCATCTACCAGGTCCCCATGGGACACTTGCCCACCCTGGGCTAGAAGGGACCACCATCCAGCAGCCAGGGCGCGTGCATCGATAATGACAATGCAGGGCGGTCTGGCATCACCTGGACGTTCCTCATGAACAGCAATGACAGTGCGGCAAAGCAGGCCATCTAAGGTAGCGTCGACGACACGCCGAGAAGCTGGCACAAGTTGCAAATGCGACTCAGGGACGCCAACGCATGCAGCGATTTGTCGCCGGTAAGCTGTCGGATGGCGCGGGTCCATCACGAAAAGCATCACACATTCTTCATGTACCAGACAGTAGACCTGTCCCGCATCCTGGGCGGGAAGGGGTGGCTCAGCGTTCCACGGAAACCGGGCGACTAAAACCTGCTCTAGGGGGTAGGCAACCGGCAGACCTTCGTCAGGCGGGACTATAAAGACAGTTAACCCAGGTCGAGTGTGAATATACACGTCATCGGCAAGAGGCAGGTCATCTATCCCGATATAGACTGAGACGCCTAGTCGTTCACTGACGTTGGCAAGAGCAAGCACCTGTTGGCGCGTCACATAGGCGGGCGCAGACATTGCAAAGACCCTGCCATCAAGGCACGAAGAGTCTATACAAATAAGGTGCTCCTGCATCTGCCATTCTGCGAAAGCAATGACGGCCCCGCTACCAAGCCGCGGCTGTGGGGAAGCCGGGACAAGCAGTGGGAAGCGGTCTCGGGGAGCTGGGTCCCTTGCTTGGCTGACCGCACTGAGCACTTCCGGGACAGTGGCTGGAAGATTCAATGTCACATGAACGACTTCAGGAAGGTACCCCGGGACGAGCACAACAAAGAGAACATTGACCTCGCCTTCTTCGGTGCTACTGTCTTCACTGTCACTGGCATCGCGCAAAGACAGAAAGGGCTGTTGCGGGGTGTATCGCCAGCCCCGTCCAAGCAAGGGTGCATAGTATCTGAGCGCAGCGAGGGATTCCTGCATGGACCTGGTGGTAGGTACAGGTTCCGCAAGCCATTTGTGGGTCCGCGGGGCATGCAAGCCAGACCGCCATGTGACGACACTCTCTGCAGTTAGCTGGCTAACAAGACACTCTGCGATGCGAAGACCGCAAGCAGTAGTGCGGCAGACCCAGCTGTGGCCGGTCCAGGAGGCAGCGAGGAACTCTGCACAGCAAACTGCAGTATCCTTGACCGGATCCCCGCAGTTACACACAGCAACGGCAGAGATGTCGCCTGTGGTATGCTGGGCATCAATGCAGGAAATGTGGGCGGAAAACGCGACTTCACCAACACTATGCAGAGAAAAGGCAGCTGCACCGGGGCTCAAAAGGAGAGCAGCCGCGGGACTGGCGCTGTGCGCTAGGTAAAGTTTCCGCGGACCCCTTTGGGGCGGCGCGCGGTTGCGGGGCGTGCGGCTGCGATCTTCCCCGTAATCGGGGTTAATCCGCGGCACGCCGGTTGCAGGAGGCTCATCGTTGCTATCTGATGAGTCATCGGAGGACTCCTCAGAAGACTCCGGGTCTTGCACATCCCCGGCTTCGGTGTTGGGGATGTACTCGACAGCCAAGATGGTGCAGCTGTCACAACGCAGGTAAGTGACCTCGCCTTGCATTTCCTGCACTCCCCCGTTTATGCAGACCTGATGGTCATCCGGGAGCCGGTCACGAAAACGGTTTTCTAAATCCGTCAAAGGTGCAATCCCACCTTCAAGGAGGCACCAAGAGAACCCCTGCAGCACCGCGCGCAGATCGAAGAAGACAACAACCTGCAGCGCATGCACCCGTCCAGGGGGAACAGGGATGCGTCGGAGGGATTCCGTAGCTAGTAAGACCGCCTCCCAAGGTGTTCCCAGATACATGCAGTCGGAAATCTTGGGACGGCTCAACCTACATGTCAAGGAATCAACAGAACAAGAAAGTGCGAGCGCGGCCGCGGCACGGAAGTCATCTAGTTCTCTGATTTGTCGCCGGTCAATCTGGGCAAGACGTGGCAGGCCATCTGTGAGCATAAGAAAGGTATTCTTGCTGTCAACAACAGGCTGGGGGGCCTCTGTCTCCCACAGACCGGAACAGTTGAGCTTGAAGGGTAGGTCGAAGAGACGCGGCAGCAGAGAGTCGGAAGGGAGGACCGTAACAAGGTCCCCTTGCTCAAAAGTCAAGGGGCGTTCTGGCAGCGCAAGGCGGTTGCGCACATGGACAGTGATACTCTCGCGACCACCAAGACCGGATTGTAAAAGGAAGGAACCCCACTGCATCCATGGATCGAGAACGAGGGAGAAAATCCGCCCATCAACCTGTCTGGAATCAAGCAAGACAATAGTCTTGGCAGCTGCCCATAAGGGCAATGCAAGGATGCACCCATGCCCGACCTGTGGCTGAGGGCATGCCGGCAAAATGAACTCGAAGCGGATGTCAGCATCGATTCCCCTGGCAAGGGAGAGCAACTCACCTGTTTCGCTTTCCCCAGCGGGAAAATCAACCTCGATGCTGACGATTTCCGGGATACAGCAAGGCGCAAAGATCGCGAAGTGCACAGTTTTGCGGACAAACTGTACTGCAAAGGGATCATCTTCAGTCCTAGTAGCAAGGCATATCTCACCCTCAAGAGGCCTTGCATGAAGGGTGACAACTGTGCCATGACCTACGTGCACTTGGGAATCCCTAGAGGCACAGCCGTGGACATACGCCTCGAAACCTGTGGGCAGGCGTGGGTCAGCATGGTCAAGGAAGGTGCCAGCGCCGCAGGCGCTTGTGCAACGATCAGCCCGAGGCTCAAGGCTCGAGCATCAATAAACACAGGTACCTTGGTAGCGGAGCCACCACTGCTAGCCTCGTCGCAGACGACAGCCCCCAGAATGCCACGGACTGCGCGTCCCCCCTGGAAAACGGAAGGGACAAGGGCGCTGGCAGCAGGCTCAGCGAAAATCACCTCATCCTGTGGCTTACCTATCCGGCGGAGAACAACCTCCTTCAAGGTGTCGGTTTCACTCTGCGCGTATGGGACAACAGACATTGAGTCCTCGCACAGTGTGAGCCACGATGGGGGACCCTCCCCAAGGAGGGACATAGCAACATCGCCTGGTCGGAAATCTTCGCATGCCAAGACACTCTCAACATCGGTAGCGAGGGTAGGGAAGCCACTAAGTGGTATAAATCTGAGAACTGATCCTGAAAGGATCCGAAGAGTGCCCTCTTGGCGAGTAGGATCGTCATCCAAATAGACGGCCCACGGCTCGAGGTGATACTGCTCTGCGATTTGCTCAAGCACATGAGACTCGAGCACAACAGGCATGTAGGCAGCAAACACAACCTCATGGAATGCAGACAGGTCGATGACAACAACCCTTTGCTCTGAGTAGGCGACCCACTTCGGAATCTGCACAAAGGTCAAAAATGTGTCACTCGGTTGAACTGACGCAGGCAGAAGAATGCAGTGTTCAAGGAACTCGTCTGGCTTAAGACCAGCCCGCACAGCCTGGCAAAGGGCCGTTTCGTTGATGTGAACCGGCTGCACCAGTTTCACCACAGCAGTTCGGAAGCCCGGCCCTAGAACAGCAGCCTGCACATAGGCGCCAGCATCAGTAGCAATGTCACCTGATGGGGGCCCAAAGGGGTCGGGCCAGGTGGCGACTACATCAGGAGACCTTCCAACGAAAGGTGCAGTAGAAATGACCCGGTCACGGGAAGAGGCGGTCTCAACAGCACTATCAAGAACAGCCTGGTCGCTGGCAACCGCGGGTGACATACCCCACACACACTGCGGAAAGCTCGCAAAGCCGAAGAGGAGACAAAGCAGCCTGGAAAAACTGGAACTCCCACACCTTGCAGGCGGCCGACCTAGGCCCTGTCGTGAGACCCACGAGGCCTTCCTCCGATACTGTGTCTGATGCGAAGGCGGGCAGCAGAGGAGGCCTCGCACCAGGACGGGTGGTACCCCGCTAGTGGGGAGCTGCACCAACCTACTGAGAGGGGAATCATGTCTTGGGAGGTGCCAAAACAGGAGCTTAAGAATGGCAAGGAAGAACAGGCCGAGCATACTCCGCGCCAACGGCACGAGGAAAGAGGCGAGGGCATTCAGCAACCAAATACCTAGGCCCTCTTGCACTAGTGCATCGCCGCTCCAAGGGATTAAGGGACTAAACCCTAAGGGGAAAGAGCCCGGGAGGGAGGGAGCGGCATGTGTCGTGGCTCCTGCCCCTGAGCTACCGATGCAGGTATTTAGCGCCCACGACGAAATGCGACACTCTGACTGTGCGAGGGGCACGGGACAAAGGTGCTGGCTCAGCCGAGCCAGTACAGACGTGGCAAGAGGGTGCGGGCCGACAAGCAGACGGTCGCCCCCCTGCGCTGAAAAGGAGCGAGGAAGAAAATGGAGACCATCACGAGCCCAGTGATGGCCATCCACGCTTCCCTCGAAGAAAGGACCCCAGCCCGGTTGAGGGGAGGAAGAGGAAAAGGCAGTGAGGCGATAGGTCGTGGCTCTTGTCCCTGAGCTACCGATACAAGTATTTAGCGCCCACGACCTGACCGCAAACTCTCGACTGCCTGGGAGAAAGTATGGCGGAGCCTCGGAGGCAGAGTCACAAGACCAGTGAACTGCTCCGCAAGCAGAGGAGGGAAAGGAGGACGAGGCGAAGCCTGAAGTCCAAGTCCCAGAAATCAGGACCTCGCCACATCCCTCAGCAAGACCCTGAAGATTCCCAAGCAGGGAGGAGGAAAGGGAACCCCTGAAGGCCGATGCTGAAAACGCCCTACAGTGAGACCGTTCCTGTCTGGCGTCTGCCAAAGCCAATCTCCTGCCAGAAAAGCGTGCCCCGCACAGGAACATGGCACCGGGAGACTTAACCCCAAAAGTCTCCATCGGGCCGGGCCTGTCAGGTCGGCTAGTCAAGCAGAAAAGAGGCATAGGCTCCGCAGACAGAAACCTACCGCTCATGTACCTCCACCAGTTTCGTCCTCGTCGTCGGCAAGGAAGTTGACAGGGGCCACCAAAGCTCCTCCAGCATCGGTAAGATCTGAGCGAGTGCTTGGAATGCCAAAAGGTTCCAGAGCCCTGCGTCGCCTCGCACGATCCTGGTTGGGGCTGGGCCCATAAGTCGGCTCCGCTGGACCACCTGTAGGAGCCATAGCGGGGGCTCCAGTGTCCCCACGTCCAAGGCCAGGAGGCGGGGCACTTGGCTCGCCAGCAGGCACCGGAGATGGAAAAGGCACACTTGGTGCTGGGTTGCCCGGTGGAAGCATATCGCCTCCATGCATGTAGGGATCGTAGATCGGAGTAGCCCCAAGTCCCTGAGGGGGAAACATATGGCCAGGCGGCGTCAAGGGCGTGCCCGTCCTCCCTCGTGTGGGTGTGCCACCATGGGGCACACCAAGTGCCCGATTCAACACAGCGTGTAGCTGGTGGTCCTCCTCGGCGAGCCAGCCTGCAAAGACTTGATCCGCAGTGGGTCGAATACCCATAGGGATATCTGCACTGCCAGTCGCCTTGTTGGCCATGGCCTGCCTGACCACCTGGCGAGCCTGAAACTGTTGGGCCTCTGCTTCCTGCAGCTCTCGCTGCAACCGCTCTTTGGCTGCTTGAAAGCGGTCGTGCTCCTTCTGGTAGGCCTCCTTGAGCTTCGCCTCGTAGTGCTCCCACTTGGTCAGCACCGCAGCACCCTGGGCCTTGAGCTTGGAGACACGCTGTTCGGCTTTCCGAGCGGCATTGAGCGCAGCTTGTACGGCACTCACCAGTTGGTCGTCCCCACAATCCCCGATGTGGATGACTTCCGTGGGCCTCTCCGATGGCTTGCCACCAGTAGGAACGGTGACCTCGTCGAAGGCTGGGAAGAGGCGAGCTCCCTGCCCCCGAGGTTTCCACGGCGCCTGACCCGCAGAGCGCGGTGACCAACCACCCCGCCAATATTCCCAATTGGCAGAGTCGCCGTAATCGTCGTGACGACCGCCGCGGGCATCGTGGCGTTTGCTGCCACGAGGCATCGGTGGTGCCGAATGGTGTGAAAGAAGTCGTCGTAGATCCCGCCGTCGTGGCGGAAGTCCTTTAGCAGCCAGTCGCCGGAGTCGCGACCGAGCCAGTGAACGCCTCCTACGGAGAGCTCTATGCCAGGCAGGACTGGGGGGATGCGCAATGGCTCCAGTCGACCGCCGAGTCGTGTGAAACTCACACTGGGGCTCTAAGCAATTCCCGTCCTCTACGGGATGTTCTCGAGCCCTGCATATCTATATATGTATATATACACACACATATAGATTCTCATGTACGCCCAATATCTAAGCGGATAGAGAGAGAGATAGACATAGTTCGAACTGACTGATTGATGGATGGATAGATTGTGGGATTGCTTGGTTGACTGATTGTTTGTTTGATTGATTGGTTGATTGACCAACTGATTGATTGACTGACCGTTTTATTTATAGATGGAAAATAGACCCTGAACCCTAAACCCTAAACCCTAAACCCTATAAACCCTATAAGCCCTAGACCCTATAAACCCTAAACCCTAAACCCCGAAGTCTATGCGCAGCATCAAGGCAAGGTTCTACTTTTACCGCTCAGTTGCTTGAGGGCTCGAGGGTCCGAAGTACCTATATAGTAGAATGTAAGGTTTCTGTAGTAGGAATTCATATTATGATTTGGGAAGGCATCTCCCATAACAGTACATAGGACCCTTTGAGGGCTCGAGGGTCCAACTAGGACTGGAGAGTTTGCGGTGCAGAGCTTGAGGACTCAAGTTTTTTTAGGGTTTCGGGTCTGGGTTTAGGGTTTCAGGGTTTAGAGTTAAGGTTTTATGGTTTCAGGGTATAGGAGCTGGGAGTATTTGAAAAGAAGATACCGAGAAATAGATAGTAGGGTCCGAAAGACACCGGGCGGAAGCAAGCCCCCGACTCTTTCCATGAACTCGTGAAGTTACAAGATCGCGACTACGTAGCCGATCCAAAGAAACCGAGAGAACACTTCGAAAACATGGAAACTGGTCTTGGTTTAGGGTTCAGGGTTTAGGGTTTGGGCCCAGTGCCCATGCGGCCTGCTGAGTCCCACATGAGTCGTCCGTTTTTCAGCATCCTGGAGCGAAATTTCTGCGATTGTCACCTTGAGACATTGACGAGAAGAGTGCGATGGTTGCGGACATGACAACGCTTCTTCATGATGAGGCCGTCGACAGTTGACATGCTGGTTGTTCGTGACTTCCGGCCGATGCGTACGACGGAGACGACATGGAATGCAGGTATCCTGTGTTACTCTGCAGGAATATTTGCTATTACATGCAGCAAATTTGCAGATACCCACCTCCCCAAAGAAGCAAACGAACACCCTTAACCAAAACCCAGAACTCTAAATCCAATAACTCCCCAAACCAACAACAGAAGGACTGTTATGTCCGCTTCTCTTTTGCCGACTACGACCCACGGAAGTGACGACCTCGGCTCTATGGGGGTGGGGAGAGTTTAGGGTTTAGGGAATCAGGGATTAGGATTTAGGGTTTAGGGTTTAGCGAATCAGGGATTGTAGCTGTGCATATAGGTAGTTCTCCAAATTGGGTCCTCTTTGAGGTCCCCAAAATAGTACGGCACCCTTATGACAAGGACTCCAAACAGGGACCCATGCAGAGAACTACCCACATGTAGGATCCATTTTAATGTTTAGAGTTTAAGACCAATAATCACTTTATAAGGTTGTGTGTATTTGGCGTTGCATGTGATCCGGTCGTTTTGGGTTCTGTCGGGCCTTTATCTAATATGACCTGCCCGGGTCAATGAAATCCTCTCAAAGACTTGCATGCTGAGGTTGAAGAACAAGTACGCCCACTTGACGAACAACTCGATCAGCAAGAAGGCTGAGGCGAACAGCCCTGGATACAGGGTTTTGTGTTGTATCAGGCTTTGCCAGGGTCTTCCAGCCCTCAACCCTGAACGCTAAATCGTACACCACCACGGACTCGCATGGCTCTTACATCCTTTACGTCTTTGGCTAGCCTTCGCCATTCTAAGCCCTCAAAGGCTACTATATTGCAGGTAGGGTTTACAATAGAGGTTTCTATGTACTGGTATCCACAAAAGAACGCAACGCCATAATACAGAGACTTTAAATAAGTACCAACATTTTTCCTCAGGAGTCTTCATTATAACTAATAAAGGAGCCCAAAGCCCTATTCCAACTATTAAGACCCTTACAATATGCCGCAAAAACGCTAGTCTAATGTTGACAGAGCTGAGGCGACGGAGAGGAACAGCCCTCTTCAATAAAGGGTTTAGGGCATTGAGTTTAGGGTTTGGGGGTTTAGGGTATGATGGTTTAGGGGTTTAGGGGTTTAGGGTTTAGGGTATTGAGTTCAGGGTTTAGGGTTTTGGGGTTTAGGGCCTTTAGGGTTTAGGGTATTGAGTTTAGGGTCCAGGGGTGCAGGGTTTTGGATTTTTGGGTTGAGGGTAATTAGAAGAAAGGTAAAGCGAGCGTGATGAAACTGGAAGTCTGCACAGGCAAAAGTAAGGTGCAAGACAGGCACAAAGAGCATAGCGACAAGCGGAAATCCCACCAACCCAGATTTGGACACGCACATGGTGCGCTGCCAACCCAGTTTCGCTATGGTGGAGCACTACATGAGGTAATTGGATTTCCACGTGGAAGTCTCAAAACAAATTCCTTTGCAAGGCCACCTCAACACACCACAACAATGCTGGCTGGACCAAGGGGAATGGGTACCTGCTTTAGGATGCACGAGTGAGAGTCTGGTTTCGAATCAGGCGATCGGAACATGGGGGCCAGAGCCCCACAGCGCATGCATTCACATACGCTTCTTCAGAGACGGGAACACTGATAGACAGTTTGGTCATGATTGAGTGGTTGGTCGACCGACGTACAGGATTTACTTGCTGGTCCACACCGTCAAATAACCTCTGCCCTCGAGCTGCAAACGCCGAATCCGAAATCGCACCTTGCAGAGCTTTAGAAACCCTTAGTGAACGCTTAAGTACTTCGAAAGATCATGGAATCTTTCCCAAACTCTGACAGAAACCGGCGAGAACCCCAACAGAAACTTTCACGAACCCTTTAGCAACCTTCACAGGACCTTGAAAGAACCCTCAACGACCCTAACAGAGCCTTGATTGAAGCTTCGCGAACCTCACAGGGCTTCGAGGAGGAGAAAGATGAGACCATGTGGCACAGTGACGAGCGCGGAGCCCGGGCTCGTAGGCCGAGGGTTGAGGGTTATGATCGGGGTCACTTCAGGGGGTGCTCTTCGAGGCGAGTGGTGATTTCGGGAGTTGCCCGCTGGCGCAAAGGTGTGCGATCCAAGGTGGAAGCGCCTTGAATTCGAAAGCCCAGACCCCCGAGAGGATCTGGAAAGTAGATCCCCTAATTTGGGGCCCTACACTTCTGAGGTTACTTTATAGGAACCCCATTAAGGGATTTACGTGCTGGATCCTCCCGGGGGTCTGGGAGGCGAGGGTTCGCTTCGTCGGCGGACAAGCATTTGGAAGTCCAGTTTCCAGGTTTAGGGTTTAGGGGTTTGGGGTTTAGGGGTTTAGGGTTTAGGGGAGTCGAAACCAGCTCTACGACAAGCCGTGCTGGGCCAGCTTCCCCAGCAAAGATGCGGACAGCTGGCGGCAAGTTCCAATCTCATGGAAAAGGGGTTCCCTCAAAGGGTCCAAGTACCATTATAGTAAGTCCTTAGTAGGTATTTGGGCTCCCAGAGTATATACTAATTACACCATTACTTGGACCCTTTGGGTTACGGCAACCACAAAGACAATCTTCGTGGACTGTGCGCCGACAAGCATGGCGACCCAAAGGCTCCATGTACCCACAAGGCTTTAAAGTACCTATACAGGGACCCCTTTAATGCTTAAGTATCTACTATAAAGGTACATGGCGCCTTTGGGATGGTAACGGAACAGTGTCCCTGAAGTACTGGATGACCCGGGATTCCCTGAAAAGAAACGATTCCAGCAGACAGACGGTAAACACAGCAGGGGTCCATACTATAACATTGACATGCCGGGCCTTGGAGTACTATACTTTAGGACTTGTTTGGGGACCTCGTGCTCACAGTGACCATTCTGAAACAAAAGGTCTATGCTTTCTTCTCCCCACTTCAAAGCCCAGCATGGTTTTTGATTTGTTTTCTAGGTGGGGCTTTGGGACATTTTATTTTTCCCTTTTTGGGCTTAAGAGGATCTTATTCACTAATATTTTTCAAAAGGTTCAGAAGCCCCACCTAGTTTTGGTAGGCTGCTGTTTTGACATTGCGACTCCCTGGGCCGAAGTCCTCCAAGCTAAAGTTTGCATGCCCCTTTCGAGAAGCCTTGTCTGAATATGTAGAAGCACCGCAGTATACCCGCAAGCCCTATTCTGATTCGCATGAGTATTCGTATGAGTATTCGTATTAGTACTAAATTAGCATTAGTCTGAGTATTAGTACTATGATAAACCGAGATGAGATGGTCTTCACCTTTTTCCCGCATACCCCTGGCCTTCTGGCGGCCGAAGGTCGGACTGACAGGCCGCCTAACACAGAAGCCTCTGCTCGTGTTATTCCTGATGTCCAGAAGGTGCCTTCTTGTAATTCTGGTATAACATACACCAACATAATATTACCCTTCGGGTGCCTTATTTTTGACGATGATATGAATATACACCAAAGCTAAAATAAAACCCTCTTACAAGTAAAGAAGCCCCCGATATTAGCTGCCCCGAGGATACTTCGGACACCAGGAAGATCTTGGGTGAATAAGAGTCTTTGCAAAGAGGTTCGCGTATTGGGGTTTAAGGTTTAGGGTTTGGGGTTTAGGGTTGGGAATTCCAGGTTTGGGGTTTAGGTATTGTTTAGGGGTTTAAGGTTTAGGGTTTGGGAATTTCAGGTCTAGCTTTGAAACTGGGCTCCCTTGATGTCCTAAACTCTACGTAAAGCCCCAACCCTATGTCCGAGGTTCCAGGAATATCTGGCCAACTCCGGCTTTCAACGCGACGGTGAGCCGGTCGAGGCATGACGGCGGCTTCGGTTTAGGATCTTCGGCCATGCCGCTACTGCTGTGGCTGCCTCCCGTACCATCAATGCTACTTCAAGCGATAATCAGCTGAAGCACGCCAGCTGCCGCCACTGCAACTCCAACTGCTACTGCTGCTGTTGGTGCTGCTGCTGCTGCTGCTGGTATTGCTAACCTCATACGAGGATCACGACGACGACAAGGAGCTAGTAGTGACCCTTTTGCTGCTACTACTCCTCCTGACCTTATCTGTCCTTCTATCTAACTATCATTGTCTGACTATTTTACATATTTGTGTGTATATATACATAGAATACAGAAAAAAACACACTACAGGCTCAGTTTTGCTTAACACACGCAGAAAGCAACTGTTTCACTGCAAAGAACACCGGCCTGCATTCCGTTACACACACACACGAACACGAACACTCTGTCACACTCTCTCTCTCTCTCTCTCTCTCTCTCTCTCTCTCTCTCTCTCTCTCTCCCTCCCTCCCTCCCTCCCTCCCTCCCTCCCCTCTCTCTCTCTCTCTCTCTCTCTCTCTCTCTCTCTCTCTCTCTCTCTCTCTCTCTCTCTCTCTCTCTCTCTATATATATATGAGTAGGATATAGCATACCACACTATAACATGCTATGATATACTGTGATGTCTTCTGCTGGCAGCTTGACAAAGCTGCTTGTTGTCAGATGTGTTTGCCGGCGCAACTGCATTCGAACTCGTCATCGTCGTCGGAGTCGTTGCAGTGGCAAACCTGCAAAGCAATGCAAACCCCAAAACTCCCGAATCGTAAACACAAATCCTAGAGACAAAAGTGAAGTGTATTTTTGTTTCAGGATCCTTGGTTGGAGATCGTTCAGCCGGCCATGAAGTTTGCGGTCCTTCGCTCTCTGGAAGCAGTTTCTTGGCCCTGGAGGGTTCAGTATAGGGCCTAGAATTCTTAGAATTGGGTGTGGGTATGTAACTTTAGGGTTTAGGGTTTAGGGTTTAGGGTTCAGTATAGGGCCCGGTATATTTAGAATTGGGTGTGGGTATGTAGCATTATAGTACAGGAGCAGTGAGGATCCCTAAGGAGGGATATGGGCAGTTAATGATGCAGGCATCTATATCTCCATAGAGCTCAATGTACCCATATAGTACATACTTAGACCTGAAAGGGGTTCTATATAAGTACTTAAAAGCCCTAAGTATAGATACTATATTACATGGAGCCGTCCTATACGGGCCCCTTCGCGCGCTTCTCTGCAGGCTCGATAGTCATACTCGTGCGGTGTTGGGCTTCCGTGCAAAGGCTTGTGATTTCCAGCTTCGAGTTGAGATTTTGGGGTTTAGGGTTAAGGGTTCAGCGCCAAACCTTAAACCCCAAACCGTTCGGGGTTTTGGGTTGAAGGCGGTGGCTTGTTTGAGGGGACTCAATGGGCTTGCTTAAGGGCTTCATCAGGTTTCGTACGGAATTACTAAGGCAAATGGGATTTGTCAGATTTGCTCATGGTTTTACAAGGGTAGCCACCTGTTTGCCTTGTGCTCCGGATTTGGAAAGGAACCCCAGCAAGGAAAGCAAAAGAGCGCACCATTGGGAAAACCCATAGTGTGAATATGCTGGTTTGCAGCTCCAGGTGCAACGACTTTACCATTTTTGATAGGGAAACCCCAAACCCAAATCCCTCAACTGTTTCTCCATGCTCCTAGATTTGGTTGGGCTCAAGTAGTTTAGGGTTGACTGAGGATGTTCGGATCGGAACCCTAAACCCGAAACCCTAAACCCCAAAACCCCAAACCCTAGAACCCTAGACCCTAAACCCGAAGCCCTACATCCTTTGGGAATCAGGGCAGAAGTGTGAAGTTTCGAGCTGCGAGGCACAAGACAGCGTGGTGCACCGTGCCAGCTCCTTTGAACTGTTTGGCTATGACTTCATGGTGGACCAGGTCTGTGCTTATAGGGTTTAGGGTTCAGGGCTCAGGGTTGTAAGGATCTGTACGGTGTGCGGGTTTTGAGGATCCTCTCAAGTGGCTTTGTTCTGGCGTCTTACAAGTCTCTATTATCATGGGTTAAAAGCAGCGCAAGCTGGCATAGACGGGTTTGCAAAGCTTGTGTGCGAGTTGTTCTACATCTCTTTTTCGAAAAGGGGCCATACCTGCTGACGAGGAGTTCTGACCAACAACGGAGCTTCCATATGGCTTTTTGGGGAAGCTAGTTGGGTTTGGCACGTGAACAGTTTAGAGTCCAGAGGTAAGGTTCTGTGTTCACGGTATACCGTTTGCTTGCATGACAAACAGCAGCTCTCAGCTATGAGCAGAAGGATAGCGGAACAAATTATGTGGTTCAGGTTGGTTGTGTAGATAGTTCAGGGGTCTGGGTGATTGGTAATGCAAACCCCTTCCACTTCTGCATCACTTTAGCACACTCCCGACCGTCTATCCAGCCTGCCTTGCAAGAAACCGGTTGCAAAACATAGCATCATATACGTCACTATACCACAATACACTGTCATCGACTACAGCACTTTGACTAAATTCTTTAAGTTTACATAAGCAAAGACCATGATAAACGACAATGTACTACACTCTACTATAAAATCATCTAGGCCTCCCAATGGGCCCTTTTTCCCTTTTTGTAGTCCCAGGCTCCTTATAATGTCACCCAGAGGAAGCCCTTTTCATTCCTAGGTAACTGGTCATCCTAGTCCTTGTTCAATGGCAGCCCTAAACCCTAAACCGTAAAGGATCTTTCCAGAGACCGTCGAAAGTCCCCCACAAGTATTGAATGGGGTTTGTGGATATTGGGGTTTAGGATTTCGGGGTATTTGGGGTGTTTGAGGGTTCAGGGTGTTTAGCGTTTAGGGTTCAGGGTTTCGGGGTTTAGGGTTTAGGGCCTAGGGGTTTAAGGTATAGGGCCTAGGCCTAGGCGTGATACTCGCCTCAAATGTGAGCATTGCGAATGATCAAACCATCGCCCATGTACGCAAAAGAAGACAAGATCAAGCTTATGACAACGCGGCTTCTGTACGCATGTCTGCATGTGATGTATGTATGTATGTACCATGTAATTACGCATGTATCTATCTACGTATGTATCTATGCATGCGTGTGTATGCTTCAAGCCTCAACATGTCGTTGTTTATGTGATACCCAGGGTGCTTCGATCCTAAACCCAAAGCCCTAAACCCTAAACTCTACATCCTAACCCTAACCCCTAAGCCCTAATCCCTAATCCCTAAACCCTAAACCCTCAACCCTAATCCTGAGCTGAGCCCGGAGACTCCAGCAATTCAGCCGATGCGCACGTACTTTTGGCTCATAAAAGTGTCCGGTGGGCCTTCGTGAGAGTAGCTATAGCCCAGTGGCCCCGGGCAGACACCTAGCAAGAACCTGCTACACAGTTTAAGCTTAGCATTTCAGCTTAGAGTTGAAGTTCTGAGCCTCGGAAGAGGAGTGAGACCTTTTCAGAACACAGAGCTGTAAACACACTTCGGTTTCCAAGTGCGCAGCCTGAACTATGCAATGGACTTCCAGGAGATAGAGAGCTAGAGACGGTCGGAGATGGAGGCCAAGAACGAAGCAACAGCTCAGACAGCTAATGCTGAGAACCATCCATGTTTTCCGGTAATGCTTTTATGCAAACATCGCTGCGGTCGCGGGGCATTGTGTAGCTTTGATTCATGCTAGCACTACGATGCCCACTGTGCCCTCCGGCCCCTTCCACTTTGTAAGCACTCCCAGCTCAACATACGACTCCCGTCTAAACCCGTAGCGCCAATGCCAACACCTTTTCTGTATGGCGGCGGCGCGACGAGAACTGTGGCCCAGGCATTTGGGGTGGGCAGCTTATAAGATTCTAACTATTACTAGGACTCCGTGTAACTATCGATCTATCTTTCGATCGATCTACCGATCTATCGACCGATCTATCTATCGATATCTACCTAAGTATGTATGAACACGTACTTAGTCCGAAGATTACCCATATAGGCACCCCTTGAGGCCGGAGTATGTACTATACAGGCACAGGAGCCTTTTGCGCGTCGTTTGGTTTGTTGGTTAGGGTTTAAGATTTGGGCTTTTTCGGTTGAGGTTTTGGCTTTTGGGACTTAGGGTTCAGGGTTTCACGGTCGTCTATGTCTTTCTGCTTTTTTTGTGAATTCCTTTGCGGGCGTCATAGGAGTTGCGTTAAGTGGCGGTCATTGAAGGGCTTGATTCGCCTTCCTTGCGAATCTTCAGCAAGCTTACCAGGCGAGACTGTTCTTCGCGGGGGTTCTTAAAAATCCCCAAAGAGTCCAGGCAACAGTCTATAGTGTATATTTTGGGCGCCCAGGCATCCACTAGTTAAGAGCCTACTATATTCGTACACGGACCTTTATGTGCATTCCGCATTCCATCAACAAGAGGATGAAGAATTGTGCAGCCCATGTCTCGCTGTGTATTGAGAGGACTTGCGGGTTGAGGGTTGAGGGGTTTGGGTCTACTTAAAGGATCATGGGACTTAGTAACTAGGGTTCCTTAAAGGGCTCCTTAAAAAGGATCCATAAGGGTTCTATAAGAGAGGGGTCTTAGGGTTACTTAAAGGATCATGGGGCTTAGTAACCAGGGTTATAATTATTGTAAGTGTACTTATAACCCCAATTAAGGTACTTATAACCTTACCTACTAAGTCCCATGATCCTCTAAGTAGACCCCAAACCCTAAACCATGTAGATCCCTTTAAGGAACCCTATAGATCCCTTTAAGGAGCCCTTTTAAGGACCTTACTAACTCCCATGATCCTCCAGGCAGACCAGCCTCACAGCAGTAAATCCTAAACCGGAAAGCGTTATAAGTCCCAAATATCCTAAACCCTAAATTCTGAGTCCCCCAATAGCCCAAGACCCCAAACCTTAAACCTCAAAAACAAGACACACCCCGAATCCGCAACCAGAAGCCACATCAGGATGATGGGCAGCAAGCGCTGAACCGTGGGGAGCTCGGTTTTACTCTGCTGCACGTCGAAGAGGGAACTGTGCCTCGGGGTATACCCTGAGGCTCCATGTACCTTTATAGTATACACTTTGGCCCTAAAGTACCTATGCAGTTACTATCTGAAGGCGAAAGTATACATAATATATACATATGTATGCACATATATATATAGTTATTATAGATTCTGTCTAGCCAGCAGCCAGACCCCCATTCCTAAGCCTTAAACGTTGTGCCGCCTAGTCAAGTCAGTCCTTCACAGGAATGCCAGTGCTTCTTCGTTTTAGATCGTAGGTGTCATCAGGGCAATACGAACAAATGCCAACCATAAGGCCTTAATGACGATTATTATCTTACTTATCTGTAAACGAGGAGGACTAAGCCACGAATGGCGTGATGACAAACCAAGGCGTATGCCCAGAATTAATTGAATTGGAGAACCCTAGGACCTAAATCTTAAACCCCAGACCCCACACGCTAAAACCTAAACGCTGATACGGCCCTTGTAGAAGCCATGTCAGTGCACCCCAAGCCCTAAACCCCTAAGCCCCTAAACCCCTAAACCCCTAAGCCCCTAAGCCCCTAAACCCTAAACCGCCAAACCCCAAAACCCCTAAACCCCCAAACCTCAAAACCCTAAACCCCTAAACCGCAAACCCTAAACCCTAGCACCCTAAACCCTAAACCCTCGGCCCCGAAACCCCATGCTCAGAATTGGAGCACTTCATGGAGACGGACGATGGCCTGGGATCGCTAAAGGCGAAACCAGGCTGGCTCGAGATGTCGACGGTAATGCTTTAAGGGTTCCTGTCAGAAGTTCCTTTAAGGGCACTACATAGTTCATTGATTTAGCTGCTTTCGCTATCTAACTTGGTGTATTTGGTGCGGGCCCAAAGGCTGTATCTTTTATGGTATATACCCTGACCCCCCAAAAGTGCCCATGCAGTCACTATCTGAAGGCCAAAGTATATACTTATAATGGATCACGGGACTTAGGGTTTGGTGTTTAGGGTTTAGGGGTCTGGGATAGTTTAGGGTCTAGGAGTTTAGGGTTCAGGGGTTTAGGGTTCAGGGGTTTAGGGTTTCGGGGTTTAGGGTTTAGGGTTTAGGGTTTAGGGTTTAGGGGTTTAGGGGTTTAGGGGTTTAGGGTTTCGGGGTTTTGGGGTTTCGGGGGTGTTTGGGCCAGTTTGGGGGTTCGATGGTTAAGGTTTCCAAGCTTGGAGTTTGAGTCTGTCAGTTACTCCAAATCCTACTATTTGCTAAAGAAACCCCCAAAAGACAAAAATAATAATCCCTATATCACCCCCATAAGGAATATATTTTTTATTTTTTGGGTGGTTCTTAAGCAAATAGTAGAATCCTAATAGGCTTTGCAACGTTTGGGGTAGTGTTGGACCGGAGCCCTTGGCCCTCAACCCGAAACCCTAAACCCTATACCGCCTCGGCCTATGAATCTAATTATACCTTAAGGCCTTTAGAAGCTACCCCCCAAGACCTAAACCCCTTTAGTACCCAAACCGGTAGGCCCTGAACACGAAGCTCTCTGTCGTTTCTCGCTTCCGTCACCGTAAACCCTAACCCTAAACCCGAAACCTGTGGAGGTGCTTCACCCGCTCTCTCCGAAAATGCGTCGGAGACTTTCCGGAAAGTCGAACAGCACCGCGGGAAGCATGGAGTTTGAGGTTCTGGCTCTGTGTAAGGCTTAACTTAAGGAGTTGTGGGGCTTTAGGTTTTGGTTGGGGTTCCTATACCCTGATTCCCAAAGAAGTACGTGGGTAGCAGCAGCGCGTGCGCATGCTGGCATAGGTTTCGCAAGGATAGTCAGTTATCACAGGCTAGTGTTGGAAAGATTTCGCTTCATATGGCATCTGTAAATTCTCGCAGTTGTGCTCATCTTGTCCACCCAGCCGCTCGAAGTCGGACATTCGCGAGCTTCATTTGCTGCACAATCCACCTCAGCCGAAAAGCTTATAACACAGAACCCCTTAACCCTGAGTCCCATGAGCTCCTAAATGTCATCGTTGAGGCAAGCCGTGCTGTCCGAGATGACCGTACCACCGCAACAGCCTCATGTGTCCTTGCGCCACGGTTTTAAAGTGTGCCACAAGACCACATGTCTCTGGTGGAGGCTTTGGGTTCTAGTGCTTTAGGGCTTCGCATGGTGGATGCAATGGTAAGCGTTTGATTCAATCCCGATTCCAGAGAGCACCCACGCACCCTTTTCTTACATCAGGGACCCGAGCCTGCAACGGGGGTGTGGTTCATGAGAAGCCCAGTGGATTTCGCGGGTGTGATCGTTGCTGTGATGTGGATGACAACAATGGGGGGTCTTCTCCCCCAACCCTCACAGTCAAAGCACTCCTTACTTTGGGAGTGGCCTCGGGGTAATGTAGGAACCTGATTAAGAAACCCTGGGCCTGTAACCCCCAAAATAGCAGGATTCATATGAGGAACCCCAATAAAGGCCCCAGGTTTCTAAATCAGGTTCCTACCAAAAAATAGTACCCTTGTATAAATCCCTTATCGTAACCCTTATCGACCCCTTTAAGGAGATGGGAGCTTAACAGAACGCGAGACCCCAGAAGGTACCCATCACAGAACCAAGGAGCCCCTAGGAGGAAGCTCTAATCCTAAACCCGAAACCCTAAGCCCTAAACCCTAAACCCTAATCCCTAAACCCTTAGCCCTAAACCCTAAACCTTAAACCCTAAACCGTAAGCCCTTGTTTCCCTTTTTGTTGTCCCAGGTTCCTTAGCGGGAGCCCCTCTTATTCCTAGGTTACTGCGCATCCTAGAATCCTAAATTCTAGTAAACTCCATGGCTCCAACTCCTACATCCTAAGCCCTACACCCTAAGTCCTGAGCCCGAATCCTTTGCCTTAAGCCGGAACAGCCTACCGTTTTAGGGGACTTTATAAAGATATCATAATAAGAAATTCTGAAAAGGCAGGATTTGTAGGGTTCAGGTGAGCCCCTAGATCTGAAATCCTTAGCCCTAAGCCCTACTTAAAGGATCATGGGGCTTAGTAATTAGGGTCATAATTAGGGCCACTAGGGTGACAATACTTATAACCCCAATTAAGGTACTTATAACCTTACTTACTAAGTCTAATGACCCTCCCAACCAATGTGCCCACACCTTCGGATATCCTTTAATTAAGAGATGCACCTTGAAGTATAGTAGGATCCCGAATGCGATTTATGGCCTATCTATATTTTTTGCTTCACTAAGGGATATTTTATGGTCCGGGTGTGACTAAATTAAAGACGTCATTCTCTCGTTGTCATATAGTTGGATAACACTTTACATACTCATTTTTACTTACACCCATTGCAATTGAGGAATGGAATTGTTGAATGTTTACTGTATCACTGCTATCCCAGCCACAGTCTCCTTGATTTCTGAAGTTCGTCCATCGTCGGGTACCAGGGCTGGTTTTTGTTTAGGACTTCGGACTTATAAGGTTTCGTGTGCAGGACTTAGGATTTTGGGTATACCCTAAGGCTCCTGGACCTTCGTAGTGAGATCCCAAACCCTAGCCCGTCCCCCAGAAAGCCCATGACCCCTTTGGGAGCCTTAGGGTATAGGTATTGGAGCGAGGATCTGCTGTTCGGGGTTTAGAGTTTAGGGGTTTAGGGCTTAGGGTTTAAAAGGGATGAGGGGTTTAGGGTTTCAAGGGTCAAGGCTATGAAACCGTTGACGGGAACCCGAAACCCTTTGCTCAAGGCCCGGAAAAGCCGCGTATAGAACTTAAAGGATCATGGGCCTTAGTAACCAGGGTTATAGTTAGGGCAACTATACTTATAGCTACTTATAACCTCAATTAAGGTACTTATAACCATACTTACTAAGTCCCACGATCCTCCAAGTATAGGAGCTTACGGGTCTGAGGAGAATAATGCTTTAACTTTCTGGCTTCTACTGTAATGTCTGAAGCTTTCCGGGCTTTTCAGGTTTAGGGCTCTAAGGGCTTAGGGCTCTTAGTGTTTAGGGTTCAGAACTTAAGGCTCTTAGGGTTTTAACCGGCAGTTCTCGAGCCTCAAGACGTTCCAAAGGTCTGCGCCAAGCACTGCGGCCGGCAGCGGCAGTCTCCCGCAGCTGAGGTCTTGGGTTTGGGGTTTAGGGTCTGAGTTTTCAAGACCAGGCGCTCTATGCAGATTTTCATGTCTTACACAAAGAAATCAAGATGTGGAACCCGAATGAAAACTAGGTTCTTTGGAGTCCAGGAAGTCGTTGTTAAGAATCAATACATCAATATTTTCTTGTTGTGCAGGGTCTCGGGGGGTTACTGGGCTCGCAGAAGACAAGGAGGAGGACTTTCTTTCAGTCTTGTGAAGCATGTCCAAGCTTCGCTGACTATGTGCCGCACGAATGGTGCGGCGGAGGACTGAGAATCCTTGCTTTCCGGATTGCCTAACCTCAGTCCCGTCATAGGAGTATAGTTACATAGTTTAGGACACCATTATCATCATGAATACGAGGATCGTCGACTTCTAGAACTTGCCGTCTTTACCCAGGCTATGCTCTTTGTCTAATTAGTGAACATGTTGTGTCTTTGCTTGTGTGCTGGTCATATTTTTTTCCGGGTGACATGCGTAGCAACGTAGCATAGTGGCAAAAATAAATAATTACCAACGTGATTCCAAAGGGCTCCCTATTGTGTTGAAGTTCTAGTCCAGTCATTAAGGCCCCTATATTGGTCCAAACTTTCTGAATCCCAATGACACTCCGGCGGTTTACTGGGCTCGAACCTTGGAATGCCATGAAACACCCTAAAGGAACCTCGACTGGTTTCAGCCCTTAGGCTCCATGCAGCCATATACTATACACTTAGGCCTCAAAGTACCTATATAGGAACCCCTTTAAGGCCCAAGTATGTACTATATGGGTACATGGAGCCTTGGGGCCTCAGGGTAGCCCGTGGGCCCAGATGCCAAGAACACCTTGATGATGTAGAGCTTCGGGGCGCAGACCTGGTTCGGCAACTGCTTACCCAGAGGCCCCATGGTAGTTCCTTTCTGGGATTATAGGTTTCTAAATATTAACACCAAGCAGGCACTACTAAGGGTCCTCTGGGTATACCATCCCTTCAGGTGGCTGCTGCATCGGCCCTGGAAAAAGCGAAGCAGTCAGATTTTTGGGGAGCTCAATGTCGTGGCCATTTCAGTGGCCGGAGTCGACACCAAGAACCTCCAAAAATCATCGTCGAAGCTCCGGACTGCGTTTGTGAAGAGTCACAACGCTAAGCCTCCGGTTTAGGGTTTAGGGTCTGGCAGTGGCCGGGACCCTAAGCCTCAACCCAACGCCCGAAACCATCGTCACCACCGGTTGGTGCATGCTAAGTGGTCCGGACGAATAGCTGGTTGTAGCCCTTACCCTAAGCCCTAAACACCTACATGTACTGCAGTTAGAAAAGAGCCCTCAAAGAAAAAGAACCTAAATGCTAAACCTGTTTCATAGGGCATTCAGAATTGTGATTTTGGGTGTCCTTGGTCTGGATTCAGAAGATCCCCAGTCCATGATGGCGACAGCCCGGTACCCCAAAGCCTAAGCCGCTACTGATATTGGGGGCGTTGTAAGGGTTGCAGAGTGACAGGGTTCAGGGTCCAGAGTCTGGCGGCCGGTTTAGGGCTTACCTATAGTCTCCATTGTAGTTCCTTTTTGGGGTTACCTTTTAGGATCCCTAATATAACATTGGTTAAACCCAAAAGAAAGCACTACAATGGAGACTATAGGTAGGCTTCTGAAGGCACTAAGCTGCCCTGCTTTCGCCATCGCAGGCTCGCAGCGCCGACAGCACCGACGATTCCCAGCGAGGTTCGGTGTTGGGTTGAGGGTCGAGGGTTTAGGGTCTATGAATGAGCTGGGTTTAGGCTTGAGGGTTTAGGGTCTGTGAATATCAGGGCAGAGGGTACCGTTTGTGCTTGGCAGTTCTTTTATCCATCCGACCACCGACTGCCTTGGAGTTCTTGCATCTAACCCCCCGGACCTAAACCCTAAACCCCCTGACCCTAAACCCTGCAGAAAGAACCTCAAAACCAAAGACTCCCGAGGCATCTAGCAGGGTTTAGGGTTTAGGGTTCGGTGGGCACTCCGAACTCAGTTTTCGCTCCTCTGGACTTGACTGCAGCAAATACTATGGGGACCTTAAAAAAATAACCTGTACCATTTTGGGGGGTTGCTTGTTATAACTATAGATACTGGGCCCCAAAACCCTATTCTAATTATCAAGGCCCCTACGTTTGGGGCTTCATTGATTCAGCCGTTTCTGTCGGCTTCAACGGCCTTTACTGGGTGTCTAGGGTAGGGTTTAGGATTTAGGGTTTAGGGTTCAGGGTATAGGTCTAGGAGGGTGAGGAATATCCGTTCTCTTTTCTGTTGAGGGGCTCTTTGTGGATGTCTCAGAATGACCTCCTGTTACTCAGCGTCCGTGTTCGGACCGCTTCTTCACTGCAGCTAAACTCAGTACACGAGCCTCGAAGTTGTGTCTCATAGTAGTTTACTCTCTCAAGGAACCTTTATGCTAGTACATAAGTAAATAATTCCATTGCTTGAGCATTTCCGTCTGCCACCAATTTTTTCGTTTTGGGAGAAGCACAGCAGAAGGAATAACGATCGTGGTAGTCAATGAGATGAGGAAAAAAGAGCAATGAACAGAACATTATAATCATGCTGCGGATGCTAGGTGCGCGGTGGCGATGACGATTGTCATTAGGAAAGTGGTCGTGACGACGATGCTTATCCGGCTAAGGACTTCACCGAGAGTTGAAGAGTCACGTGTGAAAAACACGGAAAGCTTGCAAAAGCAGCTACTAATTACTGAGAGCTAAGCCATTAGTACTTACTTATATATAGTCGTTATCACTGAGAAGTACGCATAGCCTAGAAGCCTAATCCTAAGCTTTGGAAAACCGTTAAAAACCTAAGCCAGAGAAGCCACCGGCCCTCATTGGCAGGGTAGCCGGCTTCACGTCCCGGACATTCGAGGTTGGCTGTTGTTTGTTTTTTGAAGTTTCGCAGCCTTGCAGAGAGCAACCGTGCAGAGCCCTTGTATAGAGCCCCCTGTTTTGGAATTGCTGGAGACAGCCTCATGGTACCGGAAGATCTGCCAGAGACTGTGGTGAATCGAAGAAGTCGCTATACTCCTTGCATCCTGTACCTTCGGTTTTTATTTGACCTGATGTGCAATAGTAGAGTGTGAATTAATTGAATATTTTTCAGGGTTTCAGCAGTGCAAGGAACATTTCTTTGTGGAAGAGCCTTGGGTTCACTCTGTGCGGACATGCGGGTAAACCATAAGCCCTGTTCCCAACGTGAGTGTAGGATAGGGGCTATAATGGGTGTTGAGCTCTTACATTCTGACGCTGGGCACAAGCTGTCGGGTTCAATACATGGCAGAAGAAACGGGTAATTAATTAGCAACCCTGACTGCGCAGCTTCGGAAATTTCGGATCAGGATTTAGGGAAGCGTAGGGCCATCTTAGGGTTTAAATCGAGAACGACACTCGGCTGAGCGCTTTGTTTTCTGAGCTTCGAGGGCCTCTATTTCGAATCTTGCGCTCCCGGAGAGTGTAGACACCCTGGAGCCACAGCCGCTAGTTCCACACCCAGACCTTCCAATATGCCCTAAATGAGGAATACACCTTCAAGTTTAGTAGGATCCCTCATATATGGGTGGTTGTCAAAATCCCTGAATATTAGGTGCCGTATTATAATAAGGACCCAAAAAGGGACCCTAATTTTGACAGCCACCCATATGATTCACGATCTATTCCTGAATTAAGGGATGGTGGAAGGTCTGGGCCGCCCAAACACTAAGCCCTCAAACCCCGTTTCAACACCCAAAACCCCAAACCCTGGACCCGAATGTCTGGGAAGGAATCACTCACCGAAGGCTTTCGGGTTTAGGGTTTTCAGAAGCTCAGCAGCCGAGTATGTGACCTTGAACCCTGCACTACCCATAATAAGGAATATACCATAATTCCCATAGTCTAGCATCACTAAGGTAATGCAAGATTTGTCTCATCGACCGTGCAATTCTTCTTTTTCGAAAGGTCTATCCTTAGTTCTCCGAAATGATACTGGACAACTAGGGAAGGACTCCTTTTTGCTGAACGCCTCCTATGCCCCAACAAAATCCCAACTGAACCCGACCTGACCCCTAAAAACCCCCAGAGCTTCAGCCCTCAATCCGGAGGCCTCGACCCCTATCCCTAAAGGGAACTCCAGAAAATTGGAATATGGTTTCAGGGTAGGATACCTTATAATTTACCATAAAGGGTTTAGGATAATCATATTCCAACTTTCTGGCTTTTACTTTACACCCTAATCCCTGAACTCTGAGTCCGTAGCTCTACACCCGCCGAGCTGCAACTGATCCCCAAACTGTTTTTTAGGGATCCAAAAAAGCATATAAGCATAAGCAATTTACCGGGTTATCCCTACCTTATTGGGCATGCCTTTTAAGAGGGCTTGTATGGGAGATCCCTGTCCTAATTATTCGCTTATGTGCTTTTTTGGGGCCCTGGCTTCGCGCCTCCGAAGCTCCGGAGGCAAGGACGAGGAAGATTCGGAGGATGACTTTGAAATCCACACCGTTTTCCTCGGCGCCCGGGCCGCGCTTCGATGTTCATCGGGCCTTTTAAAAGAGCCCGTCTAAGGATCCTTAAAGTCCCTAAACCCTAAGGCCCTAAACCCTAAATTTAGGGTTCAGGGTTTTAGCTTCTAGGGCTCAGGTTTCGAAGCCTTGTTGGGTTCAAGGATTTAGGGTTTAGGGTTTAGGGGTTTAGGCTTCAGGGTTTTATAGGGTTCAGGGTTTTCTGATTTAGGGTTTAGAGTTTCAGGGCTTTGGGGTGTTGGTTGTTGGCTGAGGGGTTTAGATTTTGGATTTTAGGGTTCAGGGATTCGGGTGTATCATGCTAATTTGTCCCACAACATCCTCAGCTTTGCTGCAAAGACGGCAACACCCTGAGAACATGCAAGAAGGGAGCATCAGAGCAGGTTGCACGGATGCGTCCAAATGCATATGTGTACATGCATACATGTGTATACATATACAAGTATTTATGCTGCGGTTAGTTGTTTATGTGTTCATGTTTGATTGTTTATGCATTGTATTGCTTGATTTTGTTCATGTACTTAGACGTTTATTATCTACGTATTTATACTGTCTCTGTAGTGAGGTATGTGCTTGTTCCTGAACTCGTCTATTCGTCTATCACTTGCTTACCTCTTTCTGGATGTGTTTATTCAGCTGTGCACTTTATTGGTTCGGCTCTGTGTAATTACCTACACATCCACTATTATAGGTATACACATTAACTATGTGGCATATAGACATGTACTTCCTGTCCCTCGACCAGAAGATCTCAAACCCCTAAACTCCAAACCCTACTTGGAGGATCATGGGACAAGGCTATAAGTACCTTAATTGGGGATATGAGTAGTTATAAGTATAGATACCAATTAATTGTAGCCCTAGTTACTAAGTCCCATGATCCTTTGAGTAAACCCTAAACCCTAAACCCTATAGATCCCTTTAAGGAACCCCTATAGATCCCTTTAAGGTCCCCTTTAAGGAACCCTAGTTACTAAGTCCCACTCTTGCAAGGAGGTGAAGGCACCACCACGGACAAAAGCAGCACTCCAGCGGCTGCGCCGAGTTCCGGGTGGCGGCCTTGTTTGATTGTTCTGGTTAGGGTTTAGGGTTTAGGGTTTAGGGTTTAGGGCTTGCGGTGGGGTTGAGGGTTTCTGCATTGCAGTTTCGGTTTCATGAAGCTTTTTTGTTACTCGGGTTTAGGATCAAGCTGGGCTACATAACTGCATTCTGCAAAGTTCCATCTTGATAAGGTTTTCGTTGCTATAAGCCCAAAGCCGTGTTCTGAAACCCAAACGTCAGTGGAGTGGTGCTGCGAGCAGGGCTGCAGTAGCGCCACACGGGTAAGAAGAGGCCTGGTAATCATACGAGAGCTCGAGAGGCTCAAGTACCATCCCTTTTGGGGGCACCTAGTTTTATCGGTAGGGTCTGTTTGTTCTATAATAAATGACCGAGCTGTGTTAAAGTTCGGTTTTTGACTTTGAATGCAAAGCTTTTCGGACTTTCAGGGTCTATCAGGGTTTCTGGCAGCCAAAGACACAGCTTAAGATCGAGAATTTCATGTTCTGTAATCCCTGAGATCGCATCACCTCGGAAGTCCATGCGTGATCGGGAGCCAAATAGAGATCGTCACATTATGACATATACCTCAACGACCTCAACATTCAAGCGCTCCTTGTACGTTTGCAGGGTCCAGAGTGTGATTCAAGCAATGTCCTGGCCCCTTTTCAGGATCTATCTTGAGAGTAAAACCCTCGAAAGGAGGGTTGGGGTCTCATAAACGGCTCGTGTCTGCCACAGTCTTGTCCGTGGAAGTCCATTCGGCCGCTTAGACTCACGTTAAGCCTCAAGACACTCAATCCTAGATGCCCTCAGCTGCAAACCGAACGCAAGACCTTAAACCTCAAAATCATAGTCTGCCAACAATGATGACAACCCCGACCCGCGCCCCTGGAAAGACAGTTCGACAGCCCCTAAGTCGCCAAGAAGCATGAGCAGCTAAGGCTGAAGAACCCCAAACTCGAAACAGCAAGACCTTCATCCTAAAAAGCCTATCCCCGAAACTCAAAGTGTACAAAACCCCTTCAAACCCTGAAACCTAAAGACCTAAACCCTAAACTCCCTAAGCCTAAAAGAAACTAAAACCGCCAACAGCTGACGCAGGGTTGGCCAGCCACTGCCCAAGAGCGCAGTCAAGGACGGGTATCCTGGGTTTTCTGTATTTAAAGGATCATGGGACTTAGTAACTAGGGTTTCTTAAAGGGCTCCTTAAAAGGGATCCATAAGGGTTCTATAAGAGAGGGGTCTTAGGGTTACTTAAAGGATCATGGGACTTAGTAACTCGGGTTATAATTACGGTAACTATACTTATAACCCCAATTAAGGTACTTATAACCTCACTTACTAAGTCCCATGATCCTCCAAGTAGTGTAGGAACCTGGTTAAGAAACCTTGGGCCTGTATTAGGGTTCGTTATGTGAATCCTACTATTTTGGGGTTATAGGCCCCGGGTTTCATAGGCCCAGGTTTCTTATCAGATTCCTACATTAGGCAGAAGTGTAGGGTTTTGGCGTTTTGGTCAGTTTAGGTTTAGGGTTTGAGGGTTTGGGGTTTAGGATTTCTGTATGTAGTAATGAATTGAGTTTGTAGGGTTTCTGTATATAGTATATAGTCAGAGTTTACGGTTTAGGGTTCAGGGCTCAGGGTTGGGTTCAGCGCGTAGTCCGAAGGAGCGTCTCAACAGGCTTCTATGAAGGGTTTTCGGGGATGTTTAATCATTAGGACACCTGGAAGGGTAGCGGGGAGTTTAAGGTTAGAAGTATGGGCCCTTAATATGGACCCTAAGGCCTTTTTGAGGGAGTTCTGGGGACCCTTAACAGTCTGTATAGGGTAGATAGTAGGTATATGAGGACTCCAGGGTTAAGAGCGCATACTAGGGGTCCATGGTTTCCACTTTCAACCGCTGAGAGGCGGGTAGGGGGCCTGAATATCTAAAGAAAGGATTTAGTAAGGCTGATCTAAGGAAGTACAGTACCCTACCGCCCTCCCCCTTACCCCCCTGAAGGGTCCCTATGATTTAATGTGGGATCTATAGGGGTGCTATGCAGGGTTCTATAAGCATTCCAGACACAAGGCGTTCTAGAATGCAGTCTCTGAGAGATCGGTGGAGCTTTGCCAGAGTTCTACACCGGGTTTTGTGGGGCTTACGATGGGGTTAAGAGCTTTCATGTGGTTTCAGCTCATGCTTAAGGGTTCTATAGGGGGATTGTAGGGATTGTTGGGGGTTTGGGAGTCTCAGGAGGGTCTTGTTCAAAGTTCAGGTTTTAGGGCTCAGCTTGATGTTCACGGGTCGTAAGTAGAGCAAGGAGTAATATGATTACCATCCTAAGACTCTGGGTACAACGGTCCACGCTTTTCACGGACAGGAGGAACGGTCGCTCATGTCTGCGCGGTCGCGGTGGGCTTAGTCCCGGGTAGTTGGGGGGGGTGGTAATATAATGAAACAAACCTTCGGGTTTGTAGAGGTTTGTAGGGGTGTTTAGGGTCTTTTCAGGAAGCTATAGGTTTCAGACGGGTTATAAACAGGGTATGTGTTAGGGTTTCGGGTGCTCTAGACATTCTCCTGAGGGTTTCTTAGTTGAGGGTCTTAGGGTTTGCTTGAAGTACGCTTTGTGTTGGGCTTTGTTGAGTGCATCCAAGGATCTTTAGTCAAACTGGTGGGTGCAGTTGGGGCCTCACGCATCGTATTTCGCTGGATTATTTTTGTTTCGCATTCTCTGGCCCAAGTCAATTATGCGGGTTCAAGGTTTTGGGCATCGAGTAGCACCCAAAATCCATAATTAAACGTTGGGGTGCAGAACATGATAGCCTAAGGCTCCATGTACTGTTCTAGTATAGACTTAGGCCTTAGAGGGGTTCCCTAAAAGGTACTTCAAAGGCATATATATATATATATACATGTATATATATATATATATATATATATATGTATGCTTTATTTATTGGTACTTATCATGTGTATTTAGGTACCCGGAGTCTTGAATCCCAAACCCTAAGAGCTTTGATGGTTGTTAAATCCTGCAGAACGGATCTGAATCTCACCGCCACCTCTCCCGAATAAAATATCACCTACGCACAAACTGAAACTAAAACAGTTTATATTTTGGCCTTGAAGTAGTTCCCGTATAGGTATTGTGGGGCCTTAAGGTATACACTATTCGGGCACATGGACCCTTAGGGTAGTACGGGGGCATGAGCCTTCAGCAATGACATTCCCCAAAATAGTCCCCATAACCCATTCCCCCATTCCCTTCTGTGAACCAGACAGATAAGGCTACAGAAGCCCCCACACCCCATTCTGTTTGCTACGGCTCCTAGAGAACGATGAAGCTCCTGGCACGGAAAGATTGTGTTTAGGGTTTAGGGTTTGTTTAGGGTTTAGGGAGGCACTATGCGACTGCTGTGAGGATAGTAGGACATTGGATTTAATGTTACGAGCTTACTGTAGGGATTCACACCCTGACACAGGTTCTCTGATACATCCTTACGAAGCTTTTTCAATAGACCGCAAGAAGTCCTCACACAGCTCTTCTATCACCCTGTCAAACTGTTAAACCTTGCAGTATCCAACCGACACACTGCGAAGCCTGCTCCCAAGCATGCCGCAGATATCCGAACTCACAAAAAACACGGCGGTTGGCAATATGA